TGGGTCGACTAAATCTAATTACAACCTGAAGCGACAATAATTAAAAGTTTCTTGTGCTTTTTTTCTTGTTCTGATGTCTGATTTTGGTTGGCTTCTTCACTCATAAGACATTGTGTTATCTTCACATTAAAGCATTGGTCAGACTCTTAAAATAAATATATATTTTTATTGGTTATAGCGTTGCTTACTCACGTTTCAACCAAGAGTCAATCAATAACTCAAGTGCAGCCACTGCAGGCAGTAACCACAGGGATGACTACAAAACATACACAGCAGATTCTGTATGAAAAACAGAGCAGAGACTGATGTCCTTAGCAAAGCTTCTCTCTTCATCATCTAAGATGGGTTCCTGTCCACGCTAAATTACATCAGCTTTGTTGTCACCGGGGTGTCGCTCTTTACAAATGAATTCTCCAAAGGTCACAACACAATCTGAACTCCTTGTCTTTTTGTTATGAACCATGGAATTAATAAAAGCAGATAATTTTCTTCCTGAGCTGTGAATTTTGAGTCAGTCCCTTTGTTTAACGGAATGGCTCCCGGTTAAACAAGGAGAGGCATGGATTTATAAGAGAAAAACACTCAGACAAGTTCCCCTATCGGACTGAAATGTGAGACAGAAGAGAAGAAATGGAAAAAGGAAAGTGAGAAAAAATATTACTAAAGAAACCCAAAATCAAAAGATGTGAGGCAAATATGTTGTTTGGTAAAAAAAATGAAGAAGAAATGCCATCACTCACAAGAGCTGCATATGTTTTGCACCTTCCTGTATATTGTCTTCATAAACAATTTAATACTATTAAGACTATTATTACTAAAGTGCTTAAGTTTAAATAATTTTATTTCTAAACGTCTTAAAGAGGGTTTGGACAGATTTGTGTGTGTATTGTGATGCTTTCAAGTACTGGGTTTTTCATGGTTGAGCAGCTGGATCCCCATCAAGTTTAATGAAAAGCATTAGATGGATCAGTGTGAAGCACATCACCTCTGGATTCTAAAGCAGAACAGTGTTCTCTGGAGTGAACAATCATGTTTCTCTTACTGTTAATCATTCTGATGAATCAGTCAGAGTTTGACAGTTGCCAGGAAAACAGTTTCTGCCTGACTGAATTGTGCCAAGTGCTGGAGGGGAAAACATAGTGTTGAGGTTGGTCCTCAGGGGCTCAATCCAGTGAAAGAAACTCTCAGCGCTGGGCCATCTAATTCTACTCAATGAATTGGAATATTATTGGAAAGTTAATTTATACCATTAGCTCAATTCAAAGTGAAACACAATGTCTAGATTAATTTCACACAAATCAGATAATTGTTAAAATATTTTTGGAAATGTAACTTTACAGTTGAGGGACAACTCCTACCAGTACCAACATGACTCTATATAAGTGCATAAAGAAATATCTGTAAGGATGAGTTTGGTGTGCAATAACATGAATAGTCTGCACAGAGCCCTCAACCACAACTCAGGAGAGAACCTGTGATGAATTGAATCCAAAACTGTGAGCCAGGCTTTCTCATCCATCATCATTGCCTGAAGTCATAAATTCCCCCCTGAAAGAATGGTCAAATTTCACATAAACACTCTCGTAAACCTGGTAGACAGCTTTTCCACTGCAATAGGTGAGTTGACTGGGGTAATAAAGCCTGTGTAATAATGGGATATCATCAAAGTATCTGTGTGTGTATAGACGAAACTCTCCATAATATTGATCATAGGATGTTTATACATTAGTCTCTATATTAAATTGGTTGGTCTTTTCTCTATTTGTGTTAACAATCACATGGCACTTAAACATTGATATTGTGGAGAATTTTCCTTTCTCCATTAAGATCTTGATGTATGAAGTTGAGGAGGAGTCAGTGAGTTGAATTCATGCATTCCATTTATTAAGACTAAAATACAGCTGGTGCATGTTTATTAAATTTATGCCACATCAAATTTAGGTAAGTCTGATTTTTAAAATGTACATCTTGGTAGCAGGTGTACTTAAAATGTGACAGGTTATTCAGTAAACAGCCAGCGCATCAACTGATTTAATGAATAAAAATTATTTTCATGATAATTTTACAGCCGTTTCAGTGTCTCTTGGAACAAGCCTAATTCTTAAGCCCATCCTCCACATTTCAGAGCACTGCAGTGTTTAAGAATGTTGGGCTGTCCTTGGTGCATTGTTCCATTTTCAAATACTTTGTACTTTGTGTAGTCGATTTATTTATTTATTTATTTTTTGCTGTCTTCTTATTTGATATTTGTTACCCTTGACGTCAGGAGCAAAGAGCCTTCGTGCTGCCACGGTAACCAGCCACATGTAATCACTTTGTGCTGAAATGAGAAAAAAAAAAAAAAACAGGGAATCATTATGCTTTTCAGTGACTTGTATCTCTAAACGAGAAGCCTCCATTTGCCGCACCTGTCTGCTCTTCACAAATTATTGGTAGATTTCTCTTCAGCCACGTTTAGCTTTGATTTATTCATTTTTACAGTGAAATAAGCTAATAGATTCTTGTCTGATTGAAAGTCAGGAAATAAGGTAATATTGAAAGTAATGAGCTCTTCCAGATTTTTACAACCTAAAATTAGGTGTTTTTTCTTCATGACATGGATTTCTGGAAATATTTCCCCTCTTTTTGCCTCAGTTCCTCTTTGCCTCCTAGTCTAGTGTTTGAAGCTTTGCTGGGCTGTGACCAAGCTCCAAGGTTAATCCAAATCAAATTATTGAGAAGTACGCCGCCTCTTCTGTCAGAAAATCATTAATAAGTGGCCTTCCTTAATGCTGAGCCTCTTTTAAACTTCTCTCAGATTAGAGACTTTGGAGATTTTCTCCTTTGAACTGTTTGAAAGCAGTTACATCCCTGCAAAGGTGTCTAGTCATAATGTGAGGTGGTCCTGCAAACATTTGTAAAAACAAGGCAGTTGCTGCTCACACAGGAACCAAATATGACTATATATTTGTAATTTTGTGTGCAACAACTGAAGGGTGTCTGCCTCGATTTTTAAATAAATGATTCAGTGTGTAAAACGAGTTTCAGCCTTTCATACCTAAATTGAAATGGAGTCTGCTTTAATCTGGCAAACCACAGCAGACTATGGCATTAAGGTTACATGAGGATCAGAGCTGTCACTCGAGAACCGTGAGTGCTCTTTGAACATTTTATAGTGGCACAATTATTTCAGCACAAAGATCTTACATTTTTGGACAGTCTATTAAATTTTTTATTTGAATGCTGAACTTACTTTAAAACTAATCAAAAGGAGTTAAAAAATGAACCTAACAGTCAAGATTAGTTGTGTGCACATCACATTGTATCATGTAGTGGGTTGGCTGCTGTGATTATGTGTCACTTGTCTTTTTTGCATCCGTCATCTTGTCTCCCTGATTTTCACATTACGAGAATCTTTTTAAAATCCTATGCAGTCATTCAACTTTTGAGCATTTGAGAGAAAATTCTATACTCACTGTATATTTTTATAGTTAAAAACGGGGACATTAAAGAGAACATGATTAAGCTGTTTACTTCTCCTAATCAATCACTTCAATATCATTTTTGACTGCACTTTGCATCATTAACAAGTTTGTATCTACACTAGAAATAGCAAGTATATGTTTGATATAAGATACTGCATAGAGGTGAGCCTTTTAAAAGATCCAGTTTCAAATGAATATGCAAACATGTTGAGAAGGTTGTGATTTACACTGCTATTGTATTATTTAAAGTCAGGACAGTTTAGCAATTCAGGCGCAGCCAGTATAATGTGTAAAAAGCACTAACATAATTAACATTCTATTACACTGGCATAGAATAGCTCTCCAAAATGCAAAAAAAAAAAAAAAAAAAAAAAAAAAACCCTAACCTTTCATTTGAACACAGTAATGAGGTGCAGAAAACAGTCATATTATTTGCTTCTTTTTTTTTTTTTTTTGCCCACAAAGCCACACCACACTTATTAGCACACCTGCTGTTACAATTTGTGTAAGGTCCTTATCCATTTATTCTGCTCATGTACCATTTTAAAAGTTTGGCATGGAGTTAAAGGGATCACTTCATTCTGCTCTCCTCAAACTACGGTTGCATGTCTGTGGGCTGAGAAAGTCATGGATGACAAGCTATGTTGTCTCTACTGAACCTTTTCTTTGTTTCATTTTCTGTTTTGGATCATTATCCAACTAAAATGCTGAACGATAACTCCAGTTAAAGTCACAAACTGTTAGGTAAACTCCACACATTTGCGTATAATATTTGTCTGATGTTTTCTATTCAAAGCAATTCCCAAATAAGGATGTAAAACCTAATTAAATCAATGTTAACAATCATCTACTTAGAAGGAACACCAACGGTCAGGTTCTCCCAGGGGTAACACTGTAAAAGTACTGTAGAGTACACACGTAAAGAAAAGTGCACAATGAGGAAATGCACTCTTAAGAGCTGGGTGTTCAAGACTATTTAAGATAGACAGAGGCCCCTACTCTGGTAGTACTATGTATATTTTTGAGGGTAGCGTAGATAAATGTGTTTTACCTGGCATGATCCCCCAACAAAAACTTAGCATGTTCTTTTTGGTTTTTCAATAATTTTATCTCTCTTCTAAGTGAAAATGTTTCTCAAATGTAGAACTCCTTCCACTCCTGGTGTTGTGCTCTTGCTGTTGCTCTTGAGCTTGAGCGATGATCCTACCTCAGTAGTCCCCACTAGATTATCACTGATTGATCTCGTTGATTCTGGCTGTGAGAGAACTCAGATGGTTTTGTGACATTAGCTCCAAACAGCTTTGATTAAATACAATGCAGTTTAAATACTGCAGAGGATCAATCATTCTCTCCTGTTAATAAGATTCAGACAAGTATTTAAGTCCTCAGCAGATTTCTAGGCTTGTTGTGGTGCTGGACTTCACATTTAGTAGTTTATGGCTATGTCAAACGCTTGTCTGATCAACCCTTTATCTCTCTCTGTTTCATATCTACTACCTGTCCCCCAACCTCACCCACTTTCATCCATCAATGAAGGTCCATCTTCTGAAGGACCAGCTAAGCGCCGAGGCCACAGCTCGGCTGGAGGCCCAGGCTCGAGTCCATCAACTGCTGCTCCAGAACAAAGACCTGCTGCAGCACATCTCCCTGCTGGTTAAACAGATCCAGGAGCTAGAATCCAAGATGGTTGGACCAAATTCCAGTAAGTTAAAATCCTCATTATTTATGTCTGATCTTATGGGCTCACAGTGAGTTATAGTTGATAGGTTAGATGTTGATGGTCATCAAATGTATGTTAAGATAGAAACCCACCTTGGCATGCAAGCTACCCTCCTCCCTACACTCAGCTACTTCTTCCCAGTCTGACCTCTTCCTCAATCTGTCACTGGGTCACATGTTTTCCCTATGACAAATCCTCCTGAAACTCTAACTTTCCCTTACGCACAGAGATATAAACTTCTTTTAGTAGCCCCTCAGGCTGGTAGAGTTATTGTCTCTGCCACCACATGCAGACAATGTGGTCACATCAATCTGGGCTGCGTGTGGATGTCAGCAGAAACCTCGAGCAGATCCTAGTGGGCAGGTCCAGCTGACAAATTTTACATTATATTGTCATTAGTCCTTCAAGATACTAGAGTTAATACAGATTTTCCATTAATCCTATTTTTCAAAAGACAGCCAATAGGTGCAACATCAAGAAGAGAGAAAACACACTGGTAAACTTTCAGCATGTTTATTGACAGCAATCAAACCTAAATCTTTACTAATAAAAACAAAAAGATATCCAAATTTATTGCGATGAGCACAGAAATTAGGTTCTCTTTTCTTTCAGTTCATTCAAAAATTAGAATCAGTTGCTTTGTCTCTTAACCCTACTGTATTGTAACACATTGATGCTTTCACAAGATGAATCTTTTATCTAAGGCTATTCTGCTCAGTCAAAACTGAAGATTCATCAAACTTGCCAGAGAGAAATGTTCCAAAAGACTCCAAACAAATAACAACAAAACCTTTGGGCATTGTCTATATTCAACAGCCCAGTTGCAGAGTGCATAAAGGGCTTAGAGTAGGGATTAGTTTTGGACCAAGTCACAATATAAAGTTGGCCTGCAGACACAGTTGTAGAAATTCTACTAAAAATCAAGCGCATTAAATGTAGAATTAAAAAAAACACGAGAGAATACATTTTTAGTCACCTTTCTGTTTGTGCTCAGAAACTTTCTTCCTCTGTGAAGCTGCAGCTATTTGTGGTAAGAGAGTTGAGTATGTTTTTCTGCTAGACTCTTAGCTTTCTGATTTTTTTTTTTCAGACTCAACACACATCCTACTGATGTTCAGCTGTCGCAGGCCCCCCTCTGTCCTCTCCAATGCCTCTCTTTGCAGCTTTGTGCATTTTAAAGCCTCTTCTTTGACTATTCAGACAGACAATCTCAGCAACACCACAGCCCAATCTGCCCTCCAAATGTCACTCTGCAGGAAATAATCTTTTATCTTTTCAGCAAATATTTCAAACGTGAAGCTTTGCTTATTACTCCCTAGGCAAGTTGGACTTTTTAATATGCTTCTCTGTCCACACTTGAAAACTTTCCACAGACATGCTTAAAAGTATTTTTTTCTGATACATAAAATGGAAGAGATAGGTGCTAGAAACTAATCTTCCACATTTACTACTCAAGAGCTCTCAAAGTCCAATCCTTTACGTGGCAAGTTTTTAGATCTAGTACGTCTAATGCAAGTTAACCATTTAAATTAAAGAGGCACATCTTGCAGTGATAGTACAACCCATTTTACTGTTGGTGTATTAACAGTAACGAGCTTAAATTGCTTAAACCAACAATAGTAGTCATTTTCCTGAAATTGAAGAACAGCTTGACCAAGATGAGCAGTTTATTCTATGTAAAAATCAGTTAACATAATTTAGTTTTAAATAGCTCTCTCTTCAACAGAAATCAGAACTTAAAGCATTGAAAATATTTGGACCATAATTTAAAGAGTTGTTTTTCAGTTTTGTGGTATGTGTTTCAATTACTTCCAGTACCCAGACATGCAAACTGCTTCAACAAACCTTTGTAAACTGGGTTTGACACTCAGGGTCTCAGTAAGACTATATATAATTTAACAATCCAGCCTCAATTTTGATAAAGACACAAGAGTTGGAAAACTTTGTAAACACTATTCTAAAATATGTTTGAACTTTAAATTTGAACCTGAAGTCGTGGATACTTTCCTTAGAGCCATTTTCTGCTTCAAATCAGTACTGTGTGCTTCTCAACAGTGACACAAAATACTTTACTGAGTGCCACACAATGATGATGAAATACCGTAGGTCACAATTGACCTTTCTTACTTTATAAGAGACTCCAGTGATTTATGTTGTTAGAATTTATATCGCTCTGTTTCCAGCAATTTATTTTTTCCTTATGACAAACAGTTGTCTTTTGTGAAGATGACTGATAGGAGAACAATGTAAATCAAGCAATCAATTTATTACTTAATATCCATCTTTTCAACTTGCCTCTTTTCTCCAGTGGGTTCTCAGGACAGCTTGTTGGAGATCACCTTCCGCTCCACGGTACCTCCAGTGATCTGCGACGCTACCACACCCAAATCCGAGGTGTCAGACATCAACCTCTCTGCACTTGGCACTGGTGACGGAACCAGCAACGCCTTTTCCTCTACCAACGGAACTCTGGGAAGCCCACTAGGTAGGGACCAATGTCTCCTCAAACTGGAGTGTTTCCGTTTCCTCCCGGGACCGCCGGGGCCTCCACCTCCTCGACTCCCATCGCCTCCCCCATCACTCAAGCCTAACAAGCCAATGACTCAAGGTCGAGATGTGCCTAACACTCCAGTGAGCATCTTATCCAGAGAAGTGAAATCTTTGGACTGCCTGGAGTTCACCAGGTTTCGCGAGTCAGGTATCGCTTCAGAGTATGAGTCGAACTCAGACGACAGCGATGACAGGGAAGATGAGGGGGAGGACGATGAGGATGAGGAGATGGAGATCTTTGGCTGGGGAACAGATGGGGAGACGTTGAGACTGCTCAATGCTCTCAACAAACAGGGAGCTCCTGACTGCCTGGGAGATGAAATAGCCATTTGAGACTTTTTCTGTTTTGATGAAAACTCCTCTATTCCTGTCTTATTCACTTCAAATTTCTGTACGGCTAACATTTTGTGGACTAACGTCTGTCAGGTGCGCACAATTATTTATATGAGATTCATATAATTATACCTCATGTACTTAAAATGATTAACAGCTTTCCAGTTACAGATTGTGTTTTTGTTTTGTATTTTAGTTTCAGTGTTTCAGTTTGTTCAGCTTATAAATTTGTTTTCTTCATTTTTATTTTTGATTTTGAAAGTAGCATTCATACCACTGTGAAATTCAGAAAATGAAATAGGTCATCTGACATTACATGTTATGCAAAACTACTAGTTAGGTTTATCTTGATGTATCATATCCCTCATTGAAATAAATCAAATGAAATATGTCTTACTGTCACGATGTAGCACAGTGTTTTGGTCTGAAGAATGTGTCAGCTGAACATACCTTCTGTCAACAAAGAACCTAGTAAAAGAATAATTGAAACTGTTGATGGTAAAGAACAATAGAGGTGGTTGCTTTTACAAATGTAAAAGAATGTCAGTCTGAAGGTAGCACAAATTTAAAGCAAATTGTGTGAAGTGTAATTCAAAAATGTCAAGTTCTTCAACCAAACTGCTACTGAAATTGGTCTGAAGCAAAGCATATACTTTTCTACTCAACACCCAAAATGGTAAAAAACAAATGTTCTGTACTTGTACAGCACTTTATCTTGCGCTTTACTCTACATTAAGGAATTTACAGATTCATGCACACATTCACATGCTGATTGCAGACAGTTAATATAGTGAAGCCAGAGCTGCCCTAGAACAGTTTGACAGACGTGAGGCTGCCATGCACCAATGCTACCAGATCTTCCAACCACCAGCAGCAGATCTATTTTTTTTTTCAGCTGGACATAGAATTCAAGCAACAGGAGAACATGTACTATTATTCCACCGATTCTTAGAAGTTCAACAAGTAAGACTTTTCACAAACACCTAATTTGAAATCAAAATGTGCATCACTCTTTGTACGTTTTAGCATGTTTTCCACTTTAGCAAAGCTCTTCACACCTTTGGCAATTCTGTTATTGAAATGCACATTATAAATTCATTACTCTTGGAAACATAATAACTTACTATTTATGGCATCAAAGCAATGCTTTGCTTTTTTAATTCTGTGCCATTTTTAGTGGATACGAGATGGCCTGTTCGTGTTTCATCGACCCACTGTGCTCGACACTTTATGTCTAAATGCTCCACTGGTTTGTTTCCTGACATGGTGCTGTGTCGCTTTACTAAATATCTGAACTTTGTTGTGTGCCATATGTTCATAGAAAAATTTTTAAGAGATCTTGTGGCCGATTCAGACACAAATTTTGCTGTTCATCTGGAGAGGACAGCTTTTCTTTTTCAAAGCTTTTAAATTTTGCCATTCTTGTCTGGCCGTTTCATAATTATCATGTGATAAAATGTCAAAGTTGAACATGCTAACCGTGGCATGCAGACTCTGCTGGGCAGTATCACTGTGCTTTTCAGACTCTCTTCAAGAATCTGTCCTAAGTTCCCAAATGTCCAACTTTAGCTATCTTAAAACCACTGGGTCTTTAGAAAATCTGATTATATTGCTATTAGGTCACTACTTTCTTTGGTTTATGCTGAAATGAGAAAAACTTAAATTTGATGGAGACATGTGACCAATACATCATATGTTGGCTTGTCAAAAACATTCATCATTTTAAAACAGCCTAAGGATTTGAAAATGAGAGGAAAAAAGAAAAACATTAGGTGCTATTAAGATAAAGCAATGTTTGAGAGCTGTAAGCAGACATCCGGTCAGACTAACTTGAGTCCTGCGTAGGAGAAAGCTGTTTTTTTTTTTTTTTACTGGAGTCGGTACATTAACTCTAATGCATACATTTTCAACAAAAGAGTTAGACTGAGTCATGCTTCTACTGCAGTGGTTTGTCATCTCTGAACAGGCAAGGTTCCTTAGAGTTCCCCTAAAATCTAAAACAGACATAAATATTCTGGAAATGCACAAACATATTATGTCTAGAATCAAACATAAGAGTCTCCTAAGACACACATCTATTTTGTACTGTTTAAAAAGAGTACAGCAAACTGAAATATTGAGAAAGCAAATACCCTGAGAGAGCAAATAGTTTTGCAAACTCAATTATTTACTTCTATTTGCTAAAATCTAACACAGTCTTCCTTTTCTTTTCTATGCCCCCCCTGTTTAATTACACTCATCAGACACACTGACATGCTTCCTGATTCAAGTGCTGAGCTTTGAATTTCATTTTATTTATTTATTTTAGCAAATACAACTTTGAAATGTGAGTCCCTGTGTGCATTTATTTTCTTCTGTCTGTTTTTGAATAGGCAATGATGCTATGTGAAATCAAATTATATCATAACATGATACACTGGGTTTGATATTTACCTTCCCAACATTTTTTCAGGTTAGATCAGGGGGGAACCTAATTAGCCCTGGGAGTAGGTGAAGCAGGATGTGAGACTGAAGAACTTGTATCTGTTGAGGAAGTGGAAAGCAACTAATCTTGTCATAAAATTGTTACCTCTAGGCTCCAATTTATTGATGATTTTTGCTGCCGTCTGTACTTTGAGGAAGAGGGGTCGCTATTACTCGGTTTATAATTGCTGGTTGCTTTTCAATAGAGATGTGTATCTATCCGTACAAATCCAGTTTTCTGCACCATTCCGCACGAACCTCTGTACTTGCCTTTTTTTCTGCCGTTTTGCTCTCTCCACAGATTCTACCCATTTCAATTGTCCGCTATTGCCTTTCTTTGTAATTTATGTAAAGCTGGGATTAGTTAGATCTAAAGGGACACTGCTTGTTTGTTTCCTTCATTGAACACAAACACAAAACTCCACAATAGTAGCTCACGGATTGAAGCTAAGAGTTGCCTCACTTATTTATATCCAGCTCTGGGGAAAGCCTCAGGGCACAATGATTTATTAGAGTATTAATTTCGATTCATGCTGAAAGCTAACAAGTTTTCATTTTGCACTTTGGTTTATCTGAACAATATTACAGTTTTTGGAATTAACTCATCTGAGACTTAGAACAGGGTCTCTAAGCGTTTAGCGTCTCTTTCACAGAGCGTTAGCCTGATGTCATCAAACCAACTAGTAGGATTCCACTGACTTGAACTCTATGTAACTGCTTGCCTTTTGAATTAGTTCTTTTTTGGGAATGAAAGAGATTTTATTGTATGTAAACGTCGCAACACATACAATACAGCTCTTTCCCCACTTATTGGCACTCCTGACAAAACTGTGCAAAAATCATTACAATAAACATTTAATCCAATGACAGAATTTCACGTAAAGAAATAATTTCTGTTAAAAGGATAGTTGATGTGTGAAAAGAATCACTTGTGTCCCTACCAATTCCTATAAAATTAGTAAAACTTTGATGAGAGACACCGGGGGAAAAAAGGTTCTCAACTAACTCCAGAGCTGAGTGAGAAATATAGCAAATAGTTCAAAGTGGTTACCAAGTGTCCACAAAATCTCTTGGTAACCACAACCAAGTGAATGCTGTCCACCTGTCAACTGGTTGTCGGGGAGACGGTGCAAGAAAGACCTTTTTTCTTTGCCATCTTAATAACTGTCCATGTGTGACGTTTGATGAATGCTACTGAGATTTTGATTGGATCGTGTTGTGGTCATTGAGAATATGATTAGGTTTTCAGCAAAAATCAATCCAAGTGGATCTAGCATGAAATAAAAGATGAATTGGTTAAGTGTAGTGGAGGATCTGTCATGCTGTGGGCCTCTTTTTCTTCCAAAGGCCAAAGTCGTTCAATAAAGTTTATTTCTATATTTCAGCAATTCAAAGTGCTTTATACCACGAAGACATGAAATCATCAGATACATCTCTTCTAATTCTGAAGCCATTAACAAACATTATATTTTGTCAAGTGCTAAGAGAGCCTGACATCATAAACATTTTGATACACCTGGTTAGAATATGGTGTCCTCTGCCAGAAACAGAAAGCAGGCTTTCACTGGGTCTTGTAGGAGACCAAATATCTGCAACATATGGAAATATGAACAGAAATAGTTCATTGGACACAAACCTTTTCTTTGTCATCTTCCACAGCCAAAGTACATTAATAGGATTGTTTTCTTCACTAAATTAATTTAATCAATTAAAAGCGTGCCTTTTTTTTTTTTTTTTACATTCAGCGACTGCAATTTGGAGGGATTTATTGTTTTTGCCTTTTTATAAGTTCCTAGCAGGTGTGCCAATGAGTTTCAAATGTACTCTGACTCAAATGTAATTGAACTAAAGGATACCAACAGAAGAGTAAAATATGCTAAAAGGATTTCATGTCATAGTTTTCTGATTTATCTCCTTTGTGATTCACGAAAAATAATATTGTCTGAGCTGCTAGCTAATCTGCTTTGACACCCTTACATCTTTATAAAAGTCATGACAAGACATTAAAGGGAGACAGATGGAGAGTGATATGCAGTAAAGATTCCTGATTGAAATCAGATGGAGGACATAAAAGTTCAGGATCATCGCTTTACAGGCCACATCTCGTACATATAAATTAATTTCCCATAAATTACTCGG